CCCCCGCCCGCCCTTGGTGTTGGACACTGGCCACATGAACCTGGGCTGCCAGGGGTCTGAAGTACCAGGCTCAGCAATCTCAGGGCCCTGCTCTGTCCTGGTGCACAGTGGAGTGGGGCCTGGTAAGGATAGCTGAGCTGGGCACAGCTCCACTCTGGAGACCTTGTGGTCAGCGTACAAATAGGTAAAAGGCCCGTTTGCTGACTCTGTGGGTTTGGATGGAATAATAAAAGAAGAGGCGGGGACTCGAGTGCCAGTTTCTCCACTCCAGCCTCTTGGCTCTCTGTGCTTCTCACTCCTGGGACACCTGGGACCAGCCCAGGGGGATTGAGGCCAGAGGAGCAGATGAGAATGAAGGCCTCCTTGCCTCCCTCTCTCGGTTCCTTCTTGCCCAGTTTCCCATCTCTGGCTCCTTTCCTGCACAATCCCAGGCAGCCTCAGGTGGCATTCAAGGCACCAACTGCCTTTCCCACGGGTGAGACACCCAACACACAGGGCCAAACAGTGGCCAGTCCTTGCTTCCACAAAGCAGCAGGGGGCTGGCCTCCGAGTTCTCCCTGGGCTGGAATGCCCTCTCCCCAGCCTCTGCCCTCCATGGGGAGAACCACAGACTCCAGGGGCTTCAGGAATGTCCCCGGCCCAGTGTCCTGAGAACCCCTTGATGTTGACTAGGTCGAGCTTTTTGCCCAGGCCACTTCCCTGTGTGTGTGTGTGTGTGTGTGTGTGGGAGAGAGAGAGAGAGAGAGAGAGAGAGAGATTGACCTGCCAGTCAGCACGTGCATTCATTTGTTCATTAAACACTCAACACGTTGGCCGCTGTTGGAGGCTCCGCTTGTAGGAAGGAGCAGGACAGCCAGGTTGTCTGTCTGTGGACCTACAGGGACTGCGTCTGCTCCACCCTCCCTGCTCACCACTGCCCAACTCAGGCACAGTTCACTTGGGGCAAGTTGGAGGGGACAGGGTTTGGTGCCTGAGGGAGGGAGGAGGGGGACTGGAATGCCTGTGGGGATAGGGCCACTGACTGAGAACAGTTGGCCACTTCCCAGCTTCAGCTTAATCCCCTGGGCAAACAGCAGAGGGCCACCCAGGCTCAGCTTCAAAAGGCCAGGTGGGGGTGGGCCGTGGTGGAGGAGGTGAGCTGATGGGGGTGTGCAGGCCACAAGCCTGTCTAGTTCCTGGTATTCTTGCTTCCTGAGGGCTCAGCTAAGCTGCTTCCTTCTAGGGGGAAGAGGGCTGGGCCTCTAGTCCTACCCTCAAAAGAGGGTATTATGGTGGGGCCCGGGGCCAGCAGTTGAGGGCTGCAGGGGAGCTGAAGGGGCCAGCAGAGAGACCTGGGGCCTGGCTTCCCCCTTTGCTTACTGTACATCCCCACCTTTCCCTGCCTGGCTTCTGGGGTCAGTATCCTTCCAGCTGGTCCCACACAGGGAAAGTTCAGGCCCCAACATGCCCACCCTTTGAGGTGGCTGTGACCCACACCACTTGGACGCAACAGAGAGGCGTGGACACAACTGGGGAGGAAGGCAACCTGTGGGCTCCCGTGCGCTTCACTCCCTGCCCTGCAGCTCACACTGGTCAGCCTGGCCCTGGGCCCTGCATGGGTGGCCTCATAAGCCCCCTCCTCTGCCTAGGTCCTCCCTTCCCTTGTCACCTGTGTTTGCTTCCTCCTCCACACACAAGAATGTGTCAGCAGGACCTGGGCCCTGGCCCACCCCATTGTTAACAACACCCTATTCCCCACCCTGACAGGCCCAGGCCTGCCCCTGGGGCCAGCCGCTGCCCCCTGCTGGAGTCCAAATACACCTGTTTACCTTTGGGCCTGAGCCCAGGGCAGAGCAGCAGTGACTCCTAGCACCCCTGCCTGCCCTCCAGCTCCCCCTTGTCCTTCATGGTTTGGGTCCTAGGTATGGGTTGTCTGTGCCAGGGGTGGGGGTGGGAACAATTCCCTCTCCAGGTCTAGCTCAGCTCTGCAGGGGGCCTGGCCAGTTTGTTCCAGGAAAGCAGGATAAAGTATGGGACCAAGGGGATCCCCAGGGGACTTCCATACCCCCTGGGTGGCCTGTCCTATGGAACTGGAAGTGTCCTGGGAAGGGAGGAGGAAGCCTCCAAAGTTCAGTAGCTGTCCTTTCTTCTCCCTTTCTAGAACCAGTTTTTCTGGCTGGGCTGGGGGGCAGATAGGAGAGGGGGTAGAGGGTAAAGGCAGGACACTGGGGACAGGAGAGTGGCTCATTCCCTTAGGAAAGAGAATGAATGCCTCAGGCACTGGTCACTGCAAAAGGGGTTTGCATCCTGGAATGAAACCGGCTCAGAGAACTTGAATCATAAACTTAAAGCCACACAGCTTAAATGAGGTAGAACAGCAAAGGTATCATGTGATGTAGATCATAATGCCGGTGCAGAGAGGAGCTCTTGGGGGGAAGCCTGCAGAATTTGGATGAACTCTGTGCCTTGGATGAGATCATCAATTCTGATTTTGATGGCTATGTAGACATGTCCCTGTTTTGGTTTTCTATTTTTTTTTTTTTTTTTTTAGTTGTAGATGGACACAATACCTTTACTTTTATTTATTTTTATATGGTGCTGAGGATCGAACTCAGTGCTTCACACGTGCTAGGTGAGCACTCTACCACTGAGCCACAACCCCAGCCTGACATGTCCCTGTTTTATGGAAATGCACACTGAAGTATTTAGTGATAAGAGGGTGTCATGTTTGCAACTTGCTGTTGAGTGGTACAAAATATAATTTGGTTGAGATTACACTGAATCTATAAATAAATAGGAGGTAAATGAACATTTTTTTTTTAAAAAGCCACCCTGCTAAGGGGCAGGTGGGAATGAAAAGGCATGTAAAGATGGGTGCTTTCCCTACCACTGACGCTGCCTGCAAGCCCCCTCCAGAGCCCCCTCGCAGGTTTGGCTGCACATTGGAAGTGTCTGGGGACTTTAAAAATGCAGATGCTGCTGGGCTGGGGATGTGGCTCAAGCGGTATTGCGCTCACCTGGCATGCATGCGGCCCAGGGTTTTATTCTCAGCACCACATACAAAGATGTTGTGTCCGCCGAAAACTAAAAAAAATAAATATTAAAAAAAATTAAAAAAAAAATGCAGATACTGGGGCCCCATTCCAGAGATTTTACTCTGGTTGGTCCACAAGCAGCTTGGGCAAGTTCAGCCAGGGGCACGCCTCACGCTGCCTCTATGGCCCTGTGCACAACCAGGTTCTGGTGACCCTGACATTGACCCCCCTTCCTCCCAGCATGGGCTAAGGCAGGCAGTGACTCGCCCGCTATCAATCCATGGTGTACCCACCTTGGCCAGGGCTGGAGGCTGATCCTGGGTGTTAGTGAAGAGGCTGGACTCCCCTTCTCCTTGTTCCCTTAATGCCGGCCGGCCGTGGCCCCTGGAAAGGTAGGGGTATGATGGGTGGTGGGGAGAGAGAAGGAGCTGTTGGAGTGGAGGCCTGCTGGGGCAGTCCTCTCTGTGTAAAGGGGACAGGGACTGACTTCTGGGAAACAGTAAGGCCCCAACCCTGCCTGTCCTGCAGTGTGTGTGACCTTCTGAAATATTTGGAATAATTAGCAAGTGAAAGCAGCAAGTTAGACTGAGGAGTGCCAGGCTGGCCTACAGCCCAACTCAGGACAGAGCAAGAAAGGGACCCGGGAGAAAGCAGTCCATGGAGGCTGGGCAGGATCGCTCAGGACAGTGCCCATTTTTTGCTGTGTGTGTGTGTGTGTGTGTGCGCGCACGTGCCTGACATCTGCTCACGGGGGGTGGGGGCCGGGGCCGGGGATGGCTGCACACCAGAGAGGCATGTATGTGGGGTTGGGTGGGGATTGAGTAGGGAGGTAGGTAACAGACAAAACTAGGGTAAGGGGACCGAATGGTGCCGGCTGTCACCTAGAGACAGGTACCGTGCCTCAGTTTCCCCATCAGGACTCTAGTAACCTGGTCCCTCATAGAGTGGACCTGGTGGTGTGACTGAGGGCAGAGGGTCAGAGCACCCTATGCCCATTCTCTAGTGGCCTTCTTCCTCCCCAAACTGGCACTGGGTCAGGTCAGGTCAACGCATGCCAGAGTGGGAAACTGGGGCCCTCAGACCTCACACTCCATCCCTCCAGGAGAGGACCTAGCCAGGGAGGTGCTGGACTGGACGCAGGCCCAGGCCGTGGCTGCTGACTCTTGACAGGCAGGCGGGCGAGCCCAGGCAGGCCCTTGTGGTGGGGTGTAGCGTGAGTCCCTGGGGCCCGGTGGGGAGGCAAACCTCCTCCCTTTGTCCCCTACTCCCCTGGGGTTCTGGGCTCAGTTCTCCCCATTGCGCAGATGGAGGCGCTGAGGCCCAGGCTGCAGGGGACTCCTGAGAGCCGCTTCTTGGTCCTTTCCTCCCAAGGGACACTGAGGTCGTGGGGAGTTCCATGGGGGGGTCCCTCTGCAGATCCCCATCTTTCTTCCAGTCACTCCTCCTCGGGCAGCCCCTCCCCACAAAACCACCTGGCCCTCGTCTTTCCCAAAGAAAGCTGTGTAGACATCCTTTTTCAGATTTTTAAAAAATTTAGTTTAAAAAATTTTTATTGTAAATAACTTTCCATGAAAAAGGTTAAATTGCCCCATGCGGAGGGTGGATGCTGGATGTAGCCCTGGGTGGAGCAAGACCCCAACCCCAAGTGAGGGGAGGGGCATGGGGCTGCCCCCTTCCTGGTCCCAGTGGTCCCAGCAAGCTCAGTCCCTCCCAGTTAAGTCTTAGCTACAGCTACTCACTACATTAGTCTGTCTGTCCCCCCTGCAGCTTGGCTGCCGGGCCCTAACTCCCCAAACCTCAACTTCCTGCTGCTCTTAGCCTCAAGTCAGGCCCAAAGATTAGGGATTGACATCCTCGTCCTACCCCTAAGGATGGGGTCAGGTGAAGACCCAGAGGCCTTAGAGAGCATCTCCTTGCCCTACCTTGTGCCCCCACCTCATTTCTGCCTCCTCTGGGCCCCCTCCCCCAGTCCATCCCCTGCCACACTCCACCCCAGCCCCCACTGCCCTGGCCCCAGGGAGGCTCTGTGGAGAGAGGTCCCCAGGGAGTTAATTTGCTGTCACCTAATTAGCATTTGTTGTACCTGGGAACTTTCTCTGGATAGAGACCTGGGGAAGCAGGAGGGAGTCGGGAGAGGGGTGAAGTGGAAGAGCTCTGGGGAGGGCCCTATTCTGCTCCTCCCCAGCCTTGCCAGGCCCCTCCAGGCCCAGTTCCTGGGGTGGGGAGTCGAGGATCAATGAAACACTGTGTAGAGGGGGGCTGATGAGAGGAGGCGGCAATTCCGGTCCTGGGCCCCCAGTTCTCAGCCTCCTGGGCTTGAATCTGAGGACATCCTGGGCTGGTGGCAGATGGCCTCGTGCAGCCAGCCTAGGGAAACGTGGCCCAGCCCCTGCCTGGGCGTGGGGTGTTCACAGGCCGTGTTTGGGGGCAGTTCTGGGCCCTGACCTGGGCACTGTCCGGAGGTGGGGTGGGGCCTTGCCTCTTACAAGAAGGCACCCACGCTGGCCCAGTCCTGCAGGTCAGCGGACAGGGTGGCATCCCCTGCCTCGAAGAGGGGCTCTGGGGGCAGGCAGCCACTGCCGCTCTCGTCCCAGGGGTGCTGCAGAAAGGATGTGGCCAGGAAGGTCTCATCGAAGTCCAGGCTGTCGGTAGCCTGCTCCGCTGGAGGACCCCAGGTAGTAGGGCAGTCAATGTGGTGGCCATGGACGGTGAGGTCTACGTCCCCGTGCAAGGTGGGGCTCAGTGGTGGGCTTAGCTCCAGGGCCTCCAGGGTGCTCAGCTCCCCGCCCAGAGTGCCAGCTTCGAAGATGGCCTCCCAGTCAAAGTTGCCTTTGAGAGGTTCCAGCTCTCCCTGCTCCTCCTGGGTCAGCAGCAGGGTGCTTGGGGGCCGCAGGACCTTGGCCACCCGCTTGGGCAGCGGCTGCTTGCGTTTATGCCCAAGCCTGCCCTCGCCCGCTCCCCAGCCCACCTCCCCCGTGGCCTCCTCAAACTCCCGCAGCAGCTGCTGGGCCTCGGTGTTCACGGTCAGCGGGCCAGCCCAGGGGGTGGTGCTGGGCTCCTGCACAGCTTGGCGGGCAAAAGCCGGGTGGATGTGGACTGAGGGCAGCCGCCGCTTCTTGAAGGCCCCGCTCAGCAAGCGCTCAGCGTACTGGGGGTCGATGCGCCAGAAGCCCCCCTTGCCTGGCTCATCCTTCTCCCGAGGCACTTTGATGAAGCACTTGTTCAGCGACAGGTTGTGGCGGATGGAATTCTGGGCACAGGGAGAGAACAAGGGAAGGAACCACTGGGTCAATGGGGACAGTGGTGATGGAGTGGCGCCCAGTGCTCCTGCACACTCCCCCCATCTTCTCTGTGATGGGGGAAGGGAGGACAGACCTACTGCTCTGACCAGGCGGCTGCAGCTCTGGGACACCAGCCACAGGGCACTGGGAGCCTGGAGTGCTGTCGGGGGCTTTTGTTCTCTGTTGCTGGGATATCTGCCTGCTCAGTCATCCGAGCTCTGAGCTGCAGGGTGGCTCTCAGTGCCACCCCCGTCGCCTGCCCTCCCTCCCTTACCCTGGTGCTTGCGGCCCCTGGCCAAAGCCCCTGGCTCCCCCAGGGCCTGGACTGCCCTATCCCCTCTGCCTGGCCTGGCCAGTCCTCCCAGTGAAGTGAGTGAGTGGATCAAGGGAGGGGGCTGGGTGTACAAGGATGGTATGTGTGTGTGTGTTGGAAGGGGCGGATCTGGTGACTTTCCTTGTTTGTTGAGTAGGCTGCTGGCCTGGTCCTTCACCCCCCGCAGCCATCTCTTCCCATCCCAAGCTCAGTTGATTATTATCCAGCCAGGAGCATAGGGTTTGAGCTGGGGGCTTGAGCTGCACAGGCCTAGGGTAGATCTTCTGTGAGGGCATGAGTGGCTGGGGACTGTGTTTCTGTGGCCTGGCCCTTTTGGGTGCCCCAGGGAAGGGTGGGCATCCCTAGGTTTCTGTCTCCAACTAGCCCTGGATCCTGACTGTTGAAGACTCTCGGAGCGATGTCTACTCAGCCTCAAACCCAAGGTTCCCCTGCCTTGTCCATTCTTGGCTGCCTAGTTTTGTCCTACCCATGCTGGAGTATGGGGGCCTAGACCCGTACAGCAGGCAGATGGGTGGATAGTGCCCCCCAAGGTTGGGATGTTTACATGGTGGCCTGGGCCTCTTGGCTGCTCTGTGTCAGGTTCTGGAGACTTGGAACACAAGCCAGTGCAGCAGGCAGAGCCCCTGTGGAAACCACCTGGCTCAGGTAATTGTCTCCCCAGGGAGGCTGGGGAGAAGAGGGGGAGTAGAGGTGGGAAACTGGGGAGAGGTTAAAGTGGGGGCTGGGCGGCAGCTTTATGAAGGCCCAGACCCCCTCTGCTGAGGCAGCTGATCTTCACACCCCCAACCCTTCCCTCAAGTATCCTCCCCAAACCAACTGCAAAAAGGCAGGATGCAGAGCCTGACTAGGAGGCCACCTCCTTTCCATTTCTGAGTCTACCTCTGACAAACCACCCTAGGGCAGGACAGTGTCTAGGAATTCTAGGACTTGGGACAAGAATGTGCCCTCAGCCCATCACCCTCCCCAGGAGACTCTGCCCTGGTTTTGGGGCTGAGCCTGCAGGATGAAAAAATTCCTCCCCCTTTAACCTCAAAGGTCTTCAAGCTAAAGCCATCTGCCCTCAGGATATTGTCCCTGTTCCCTCTCTGGAAGTCAAAGGCGGTGAGTTCCAAGAACTGGGCTCCTTCGAGGACCTCAGAGGCCGCCCTCCCATGGAGGCCCTGGCTGCACAGTGCCTACTTGGCCTTGCAGATCTGGGATGAGTCCAGTGAGGTGTGGGGAGGAGGGACTGGGGAGCAGGCAGATGCTGCCCGCGCCTCCCCTACCTGCCAGGTGGGATCAGCGTGGCGGAAATAGCAGAAGTTGTCCGTGATCCACTTGTAGATGGCCGACAGAGTGATCTTGGTGGCCTTGCTGGCCTGCATGGCCATACAGATGAGCGTGGCATAGGAGTAGGGAGGCTTCACGTGCGGGTTGGTGGCATAATCCACGTCGTCGGGGGGCGGGGCCTGCAGCCCCGGGGGCGCGCTCCGCGACGTGCACGACGACGTGGGCTTGCCTGGCGTGTGCGGCTGCCCCAGGCAGGCGGGGTCAGCCGCCATCGGGGACCCTGGCGCCGTTGAGCCTGACACCTGGTGGTAGCCATGGGGGTCCGTACCCCCAGGGGGGAGAGAGGGAGCCTTGGCGTTGAGAATGGAGAATTCCTGCAGCCACTGCAGGCTGGTCAGGCTGTCATCCAGGGCGTCCGGCTCCTCCAGGCAGCCCTCCGGCCCGGCCTCCTCCACCGGCCCTGCTCCCGAGAGGCGTAGCCAGCTCTCCGCCATATCTGCTGGGACTCTCCGAGGGGGCGGTCAACATCCACCGGCTGAGCTGAGTGACTTGCCGCGCTCTCTGCTCTCTGGCTCCCGCGGCTCCGGTTACACAGCTTCCTGAACGTGAACTTCCATCCCGCGACCCGGGAGTCTCTCCTCCCAAAACGAACGCGGTGCCTGCGGGACCACAGCGGGAGCTGAGTACTCTTCCCCCGTGGCGGAGGGGAGAGGGTGTGTGCCAGGGGGGGCGGCCGGGAAGCTCCCGTCGTGCCCTGGCTCCGACCCCCACGGCTCTGCCTGGCTCTCCCTGTTTCTCCTCGAG